TGCCACCACTGTTTGTTTCTTACTCTTCCATGAGACAAGGTTACCCCCAACTAGGGTGCACACTCCTGAAGTTGATCTCCTGTCATCAAGGCATCCTGCCCGGGTGTCCCTTCAGATAAGCAAGAATCCTGTCAACTGCCTCCCAATGMTGGACTCGTAGAGCATGCATGTATTGACTTACTACACTTACTGCATAGGAGATGTATGGTCTTGTCATACACAAGTATAGCAGCCGACCCACAAGTCTCTGATATCTCCCAATGCCCTTTATTGGTTCACCTTCTGATGCATTGATTTTATGGTTCTGATCAATAGGGGTGTTGATTGCCTTTGTTCCAAGCTTCCTTGTCTCTTGAAGAAGATCCAAGACATACTTCCTTTGTGAGATAAAAATTCTATGTTTTGATCGTGCAACTTCAATGCCTAAGAAGTATCTCACTTCTCCAAGATCCTTAATTTCAAATTCTTTATGTAGGTTCTTTTTCAGACTATCAATCTCACTCAGATCATTCCCGATGACAACAATATCATCCACATAAACAATTAGGACTGACACCAAAGATCCCCTTCACTTCACAAACAAGGTGTGATCGGATTGAGTCTGAGTGTAGCCAAAAGCAATCAAGGCCTGTTTGAATCTGTCAAACCATGCTCTGGGAGATTGTTTCAAGCCACAAAGTGACTTCTAAAGCCTGCATACCTTTCCCTTTTCAATATCATTGTAAAAGCCAATAGGAATATCCATATACACTTCTTCTTGCAGATCCCCATTTAGGAAAGCATTCTTCACATCAAGTTGAAACAAGGCCAAGAGTATGAAGCAGCAAGAGAAAAAAGTATCCGAACGGAGGTCATCTTTGCAATTGGCGCAAAGGTCTCTAAGTAATCAATGCCATAGGTCTGTGTGTACCCTTTTGCAACAAGTCTTGCCTTGTACCTTTCTATACTTCCATCTGCCTTATATTTTACTGTGTAAACCCATCTGCATCCAACTGTCTCCTTGCCTTCTGGTAGATCCACAATGTCCCATGTCTGATTCTTAATCAAAGCTGCCATCTCTTCCTGCATAGTTGTCTTCCACTTAGGTTTGGAGAGAGCCTCACTAACACCCTTGGGTATAGACACTGAATCAAGAGATGAGAGAAAAGCACGGTAGGAAGGAAAAAGTCCACTGAAGGATAAGTACTGTGAAATACAATGAGCAGTACACTTTCTCTTCCCTTTTCTGAGAGCAATAGGAAGATCGAAGTTATCTGTAACATGGTTAGTAGAATCAATGGGAACTGAAACAATAGCGGGATCAAGAGGAATACCTGAATCCATGTCAGCTGAATCTAGAGTCTCCAAGGAATCACCAGGAAGTGATGTGAGTTATGTTGTAGTGGAATCAACCTCCCTGTGAAGTCTCTATCGTGAGTAATGCTGAGAAGCAAGACGCAAAGGAGGTGGTAAGGTAGGTGACACAGCAGGAGGGTCAAGCACAGGAGTAGACATAGGGACTAGAACTGGAAGAGGAATAGATTGTTGACTCACTTCCCCAAAACACTCCCCCTGAGAAGGATTCTTTGAGAAGAAGTACATGGATTCAAAAAAAGTGACATCCATGGTAACATATCGGCTCCCAGAGACTGGATCATAGCAGCAGTTCCCTTTCTGATTCTCTGCATATCCAAGGAAGACACACTTCTTTGCCTTGGGATCAAGCTTCGAGCGATGAGAACCAAGGATATGTGCAAAGCAGACACATCCAAAAACCCTGAGAGGAATATGAAACATCTCCCCTTGAGGAAAAAGAAGACTGAATGGGGTGTTGAATCCAAGTATACGAGATGGCACCCTGTTAATCAGATATACTATTATGAGAACTGCATCACCCCAAAACCGAACTGGAACTGTAGATGTGATCATCATGCTTCTTGCAGTCTCAACAATGTGTTTGTTCTTCCTTTTTGCAACACCATTCTGTTGTGGACTGTAGGGGCAACTGCTCTGATGAACAACACCATATTCTAACAGGTATGAGGCAAGATGTCTTTCAAAATATTCCCTGGCATTATCAGATCTGAACACATTTATTCTTGTTCCAAACTGTGTTAGTACCATCTAATGAAATTGCCTCACCAAGGACGGTACCTCATTGCGGGATCTCATCARGTAAATCCAAGAGTATCGTGAGAAATCATCCACAAATAAGAGAAAATAGCAATAGCCTCCCATAGAAGGAACATGGCAAGGGCCCCACACATCCGAATGAATAACATCAAAAGAAGAACATCTTTTATTACTAGGTTTAAATGAATGTCTACAATGCTTTCCAAGTTGACAACCTTCACACTCCAGACTTGACAAACTAACAGACTCAAAAAGTGTTGGAAACAAAAAACTCAAAGAAGAAAACGACAAATGACCCAAACGATTATGCCAAAGCATAATTTGACTCACAGACCCTGACTCACTATCCCTGTTGACATGATGACTCTGATGAGAAGGAGGTACATCCAGGAGGTAGATTCCATTCACTTCACGACCACTCCCAATCATCCTCTTTGAATCCAAATCTTGCAAAATACAATCACCAGGAGAAAAAATTACTAAGCAGTTCAGGTTCTTAATCAAACTACTAACAGATAACAAATTAGTGCTCAATCTCGGAACTTGAAGGATAGAGGGTAGAGAAATAGAATCACTAATCTTGACAGATCCCTTCCCAGCAATAGGAACATGGAATCCATCAGCTGTGGAGACCCTATCTCTACCAGAACAGAGCTGGTAAGTTGAAAAAATAGTAGAGCTCTGGGTCATGTGCTCTGAGGCTCCAGAATCTACAATCTAAGGAGGTCCCTCCTTACTTGAAGTAGAAACATAATTTGCAGTGACGTGTGAACTACCTATGTGAGCAAAGGAAGTAGAGTGGACTCCACCAGTGCCACCTGTACCTTGTTGTCCGCTTGCAGCTGAACTGGAACTGGCTGTATCCCGCTGGTTCAGAAGTAACCCATACCTCTCAAGTTCGGCCCTTACTGCAACAGCTGCAACAGACTCCAGAGCAGTTGTAATAGGAGGGGCCAGAATGTCACCACTAACTGCCATGTGTGCATTTCCCTTCTTATTTTTCAATCTAGTCGGCACAAGATTTGGGTGAAGCTTCCAGCAAGTATCTCTTGTAAGTTTAGGCTTCTTACAGTAGTCACAGATCAGATCTCTTTTATCTTCCTTCTYGATGTCACTACCACTTTGTTTAGGTTTCACAGCTCCTACCATTGCAAACTGATCAAAAATAAGGTTTTTCATCATCACATCTCTCCTGCACTCCTCCCCTGACACAAAGGCATATGCTTGGGAGAGAGTAACATTGTCCCTGGAAAGGAAATGTTTGGCACAAGAAATACAAGGAAAATGGAGGGGATGGAGTTCGTGCAAGCAGGTCAGTGGAGGAGATCCTTGAAGATAGAAGCAAAAAATCTCCTGTTCGAAGAGA